GAGCCGCTCCACTCCACCTGCTGTCCCGTGAGCCGCTCCTGCCGTCCCACGAACTGCTCCGCTCTACAAGCCGCTCCGCTCCGCTCACCGACCTGTGAGCCGTTCCAGCCGTCCCAGCAAACAGCTCCGCTCGCCGTTCCTTGGGCCACTCCAACCGGCCCCGCAAGTCTCCACGCCGCTCGCTGCTCCTCCAGTCGTCCCCACAAATTGCTCCATCAGCTGCTGAGCAATATAGCTTCAGGCTCCCCCACTAGTTAACACAGCACTCAGTGATCTCAGCTCTTAATAACATCAGCTCTTTTGTGATTTCAGCTCTTAGCGATTTCAGCTCATAGTATAGTAGGGGAGCCCCAGTGCTGGTGCACCATTGGCCCAAAGTGAATTCAGCTCAGCAGCCTGTAACTAGACTCCTACGGGAATCAAAGTTAGCTCTGACATTCAACAGTGGAGAGAGGAGGCAGTGCAATTGGTGTTTTGGACCCTCAGAGGGGGCCCATACCATCAGGTACAAATACCTGTCCCCATCCTCTCTCAATTCACTGGGTTTTGTAACCCATGCCCCTTGACAAGCAAATGCTACTTAGGTAATGGTGACGGATTCACTCAGTCCTTCTGTCATACAACAGTTCCACTGGCCTTGATTCACAGAATCAGGGTAACAAAACTTTATTCTTCCTGCCCCAATAACAGAGAAACTGGGGATCCCACACCAGCCAAAGTAACCACTTTTGGTTGCTGTGGGCTCATGCTAGGCGTGTGGGTGTGCCTATGCAAACGAGATCCGCCCCTGGAGTTCTTTTCCACACTCGCCATAATTCACCACCAGATGTCAGGGTAGAGCTCATCCTGACTCTGCTTACAGATGGTTAACAGTAGCATTTTTCTTCCACAGAGTAAAGTTTCAAAGCTGTATTAAGTCAATGTTTAGTTGTAAACTTTTGAAAAAACAACCAACACATTTTGTTCAGCATTATGAATATTTCAGAGTTATCAACCACCTCCGTTCCTGAGGTGTTCATAACACTAAGGTTCTACTGTACAAGCTTCCCCTCACTGCCTCACCCCTAGAGGGAACTTCAGTCTCTGTGACCCATTCAGTCCTTGGCCTTTCTGTTGAGATCAGGATGCTAATTAGTGCCATTTGCAACAATGGGCTAATTCATGATGCACATCCCTACCAGCCCACTAGGAACCGGACTGAGTTCCTACATTCCTCATGGGGGGGCACTGAACAACTGGCAGATGGTAACTTCTTTCATTCACCAACAACCAGGCTTGTATTTGAACCAGTAACCAGGAGGTAATACACTCTGTGGCCTTGTGAGTGGATTGGGAATAAAACATGGCGACACACTGTAGCCTCATTCAGTTACACAACTGTACTGGACAGTGTTTCAAGGATTAGGGATGAAAAACAAAAGAAGGATTGGGTTTGTGAGCAGATTTTAAGTGGGATTCTGACACCACAGGCCAAATCCCGTGGATTCAGTCAGGCAATATTCCTATTGGTGTCACAGTGATTGTCCCTGCATACAAAAAATGAATAAGCACTTCAGGATTTAACCCCATGTTCCAATAAACAAGAATTCTGATCTAAAGCACATGGTATGCTTTTAAGAGTTCACTGTGCTCTAAGCCTCTGTAACAAGGAGCTAATTTCCAAGTACCAAGCCAAATAAGGTCATTGAGATTCTTTTTGCTGCTGCTCCATTTAAACAAGCCAGTGGTTCTTCAGCAGCATGTAAGTTCACCAAGCATTTTCCTTAACAACTAATCCTCTGTGATCTTTACTGAGCAAGCGAGCCAAGCACCCCAGTTCCTACAATTCTCACACAGTTTCTGCAATCCTGCCAACACTTGGCTTGAAACTACATGGGAATGCGCCTCTGTTTAACTTGCAGCCCATGAGTAGGTTGTTGATTGTAGAGCTCTGTAACTGTTTGCTTCGGGGGGGGGGAATGAGGAAAGAGACATTTGCAAGAGGATAATTTTGGGCCTACAGTAATTATCCGAACTTCTATGGTTTCCATTCCCAGGTGACAATACTTTGTTACCCATGGATACCAGTATAACTCGGAAATACTGGGTAAAACTACTGCCTGCTTTTTCGCTATCTTTGTGTCCCATTCCTGCTCATCTCCACCCCTTCTGTCATGCAGCCACCTCTCTGCTCCAGTCCCCCAAGTCTCCACTTCTCTTCCTTCATGTCTCATGTGAAATTTATATTACTTCCAAGAGATCTTTAATTTTTAGTCCTCCCCACAGAGGCTTGTTCAAGCCCTGAATCTGCAAACTTTATGCACATGAATAATCCAGTAAATTCCTGGGACTGCTCATGTGCATATAGTTAAGCACATGCATAAGGGTTTGCAGTACTGAAGCCTAGCTCAAAAAAATATCCTACCTCCACTCTCCAAAAGCCACCCCCCCCCCCCAAAAAAAACAACCAAATCTACCCCTTTGCTTCTAGTTATTCCATCTTTTGCTTGAACAAAGTGTCTAGCTAATTAGAAGCTCCCTGGAGCAGAGAACTTTGTTTTGTACCTGCCAGTAAAGTGCCCGGCACATCACCATGCTGTACAAATAGTGAAGTATGATCATCTGTATTAGTGCTCAGGCTGCCTCTCACTTTTGTATTGCAGGGAGGAGCCATCTCCATCCTAACTGCCTGCGAGAGACCAAACGAGTTTTCAGGCCTGGTGTTAATTTCTCCTTTAGTTGTAGCAAGCCCAGAGGTAGCGACGCCTATCAAGGTAATAGCAATGGATGTAAAATACACAAACACACACACACACACACACACAGATCCGGCCATCACTTTCTTCCTCCATCAGCCCCTGTTTCTAAGCAAATGCTACTTATTCAAAAAGGAGAATGAATTGTGGCCTCTGGTTCAGAAAGTTGTTTTTTTAATTAGTCAAATCGGAAAAGGGAAGAGTGATTTAAAAATCTAGATGGTTAAATTCTTCCTGCGCTGGAGCGGGAGGAGAGTCTGTGATGAGAACAGAGCATGCAAAGGCAAATGACTGGAGGCCCAATCCTGCCAGGCACTGTGTACCCTCAGCACCCAATGAAGTCAGCGAGAAAGGAGGGCTCTGGGCTCCCCAGAGGACACACAGCACCTTGCACAGTAAGACTCTAAAACTCTAGATGGAAACAAAGAAAAACAATCAGGTAATTTGTCTGCTCTTCTCAGGAACGGCTGAAAGTCGGTAGCTTTAACAGTGGTGCTTATAGCCCCTTGAGCTGTTATTACTTGTAGTGTCCGAACCTGCTCCCTGGTGACAGAGCAAGGGCCATCACGCTCATCCTCTTGGGGCAAGAAGAGTTTGACATGGCCTAGGTAAATAATGATCAGAGGGAACATAAGAGGGGCCCAGATCCCCCAGACACTGCTGCCGTAGAACAGAGCTTAACCAGCCACAAGCATGTTAGAAGAGGGGTACAGAACAGTACTGCACCCGGGACAGCACCTGGAGGCATTCTGGCTGTGGAGGACAGAGTCAGGCAGAACAGCTCAAGAGGTGCTGGGGGAGCACATGCAGGAGTGGCAGCCACTATGCACTTTAAAAAAATGCAGCCTGTGTTATCCCCGTGTGCCCTATGACTCCCTCACACAGAGAATGAAAGCACCCGGCTACTCGTTGCACAAATGCACTTTCCTCCCTTCTTGCTCACCTAGGTAAGAGCAGCCAGAATTTGGCCCTGTGTTTTCAAGCATGTGCAGGATGTAAACAGCAAGAAGGCAAGGGATTCTTTCTGGTGGCACGAGGAGATGGAACCAGGGAGAATCATAGAGAAGTATGGAAAGAGAAATGTAAGATGAGTAATAGAAAGCATGTCCCTAGTAAGCCCTGGAATCTGTTTGCGTCCGAAGGAGGCTGCATTGCATGAAACATTTATACCTGGGTGGAATAAACCCCTAGACAATGTTCTGTAAGAAACAATCCCGCACTGGCCTCCCAGGAGAGGATTAGATGGGACCCAATGAGATTTTTCCATCTCTAATTTGTATGACCTGTGTTACAATTCTCCATTCCACTTGGCCTTTACTGACCAGGGCCATTCACTTTTCTTTGTGGCTGGATGTCAGCTGGTCCCAATAAACTTACAACTTCTCTGATCACTCAGGCCTTATTTTCACACAATAAAATGTCACTGGTTTGCTTAACTTTAACTAAATCTGTTTTAAACATGATGTAGTTGAACTGGGGTAAAACCCTGTGTAGATACTCTTATTTTGGCTTAAGAGTGGTTTGTTTCAGTTTAACTTAAACCTGTTCCTAATCAATTTAAGATAAATCAATATAAGACACGTATATATTGGTTTAGGTGTTCCCGCAAAGCCTTTTGCACCAGGTTAACGAAATCGGTTTTAAATCACACTTCTAGTTAAAAACCCATACGGACTGGTGTGTAGCAAGCCCTCAGACTCAAAACACCTTTTTCCATCTCAATCTGGGATCTCTCTCTTACAGACTGGGGTGGAGAAGGGTAAGATTGAATGGTTTGCCATGCCTGAATGGATGTACTGTTCACTTCTCTTTTGTCCCAGACCAAAACTGCCTGATTACCATCTTCTCCATTTTATTGAGTCTGGCCTGCCAACCACTCCCTAAATAATCCATATTGCATCACCTGCTGCTTCAAACCCGTTGGGAGATAAAATCTTCAGCTATCAAATGTGGCTAGGGTGTTTAACAACACAGTATTTTTAATGAAAAGCCCATTGTGTTATAGACCATCACCATGGCCCTCACAAAATCAATGATGCCACATTGGAACCTTTTGACCCTAGAAGCTCAGGTTTATAACGTGAAAGATTATTTTTCCAGTGGCAATGACCTTGGCTCTTAGAATTGTTGAGCTATAAGCTGTATTGACTGATGCCCCCTGCACTAAATTTACAAGGGTAATGTGGCTTTTCACATATATCTGAAATTCCTTATGAGGACGGTGTCCGGGTACCTCCTTATCACTGTCAGTCAGTCATTTTGACCCTAAGATTAGTTATATCTGTGCATGAGTAATATTTGTATATATGCGCACACAGAGGATGTGTGTGTGTGCACGTGCACAAACATACATACACACATGGCCTGATTCTTCTCTCATGCAGTTGTAAATAAGGAGTAACTCCACTAAAGTCAGGGAGCTGCACCAGTGTAAAACTGGAGGTACGTGAGATCAGAACCAGGCCCATTCTAGTTCTGTGCCGGTTTGTTGCTATTGACTCAAGTTGGCGAGGGTTCCGGAAATGTGTGAAAGCTTTGAGAACCTGTCCAGAGCATGTACCATCCTCAGGACGGGATGCAGAGATAAAGTTTCTTGACACCTTAAATCACTGCTTCTTGGGGCTGGTCTACACTGGGGGTGGGAATCGATCTAAGATACGCAACTTCAGCTATGAGAATAGCGTAGCTGAAGTCGACGTATCTTAGATCGACTTAGATTGACTTACTTCGCGTCCTCGTGGCGCGGGATCGACGGCCGCCGCTCCCCCGTCGACTCCGCTTCCGCCTCTCGCCCTGGTGGAGTTCCGGAGTTGACGGGGAGTGCGTTCAGGGATCGATGTATCGCGCCTAGATGAGACGCAATACATCGATCCCCGATAGATCGATCACTACCCACTGATCCGGTGGGTAGTGTAGACGTACCCTTGGAGCAGCTAGTCCTGGAACCCACAAGAGGAGAGGCAATTCTTGTTTTAGTCCTAAGTGGAGCACAGGATCAGGTCCAAGAGGTGAATACAGCTGGACCGCTTGGTAATAGTGACCATAATATAATAAAATTTAACATCCCTGTGGCGGGGAAAAACACAACAGCGGCCCAACACCGTAGCATTTAATTTCAGAAACGGGAACTACACAAAAATGAGGAGGTTAATTACACAGAAATTAAAAGGTACAGCACCAAAAGTAAAATCCCTGCAAGCTGCATGGAAAATTTTTAAAGACACCATAATAGAGGCTCAACTTAAATGTATACCCCAAATAAAAAACATCGTCAGAGAACCAAAAAAGAGCCACTGTGGCTAAACAACAACGTAAAAGAAGCAGTGAGAGGCAAAAAAATATCCTTTAAAAAGTGGAAGTTAAATCCTAGTGAGGAAAATAGAAAGGAGCATAAACTCTGGCAAATGAAGTGTAAAAATATAATTAGGAAGGCCAAAAAAGAATTTGAAGAACAGCTAACCAAAGACTCAAAAAGTAATAGCAAAATAGTACATCAGAAGCGGGAAGCCTGCTAAACAACCAGTGGGGCCACGGGACGATCGAGATGATAAAGGAGCATTCAAGGACAATAAGGTCGTTGCAGAGAAATTAAATTAATTCTTTGCATCGGTCTTCATGGTTGAGGATGTGAAGGAGATTCCCAAACCTGAGCCATTCTTGTTAGGTGACAAATCTGAGGAACTGTCCCAGATTGAGGTGTCATTAGAGGAGGTTTTGGAACAAACTGATAAACGAAACAGTAATAAGTCACCAGGACCAGATAGTATTCACCCAAGAGTTCTGAAGGAACTCAAATGTGAAATTACAGGACTACTAACTGTAGTCTGTAACCTATCATTTAAATCAGCTTCTGTACCAAATGAGTGGAGGATAGCTAATGTGACACCAATTTTTAAAAAGGGCTCCAGAGGTAACCCCAGCAATTACAGGCCGGTAAGCCTGACTTCAGTACCAGGCAAACTGGTTGAAACTATAGTAAAGAACAAAATTTTCAGACACATAGATGAACATAATTTGTTGGGGAATAGTCAACGTGGTTTTGGAAATCATGTCTCACCAATCTACTAGAATTCTTTGAGGGGGTCAACAAGCATGTGGACAAGGGGGAGTCCAGTGGATATAGTGTATTTAGCAGGGCCGTAGCAACAAAGAACGTGGCCCCCTCCGAACGGTCGCCCCTTCCGAACATATGTCCGGGCAGGGCCCCTTACAATGCAGAAACTGGAATGCGGTATTTATTTTGCCACTTTTAGGGGCCCCCTTCCTTGCGGGGCCCCCTCCGGTCGGAGGGTACGGAGGGCACTCGCTACGCCTCTGGTATTTAGATTTTCAGAAAACCTTTGACAAGGTCCCTCGCCAAAGGCTTTTAAGCAAAGTAAACAGTCATGGGATAAGAAGGAAGGTTCTCTCATGGATTGGTAACTGGTTAAAAGATAGGAAACAAAGGGTAGGAATAAATGGTCAGTTTTCAGAATAGAGAGAGGTAAATAGTGGTTTGCCCCAGGGATCTGTACTGGGCCCAGTCCTATTTAACATATTCATAAATGGTCTGGGAAAAGGGGTAAACAGTGAGGTGGCAAAATTTGCAGATGATACAAAACTACTCAAGATAGTTAAGTCTTAGGCGGGCTGTGAAGAGCTACAAAAGAATCAAAACTGTGTGACTGGGCAACAAAATGGCAGATGAAATTCAGTGTTGCTAAATGGAAAGTAGTGCACAGTGGAAAACATAATCCCAACTATACATATAAAATGATGGGGCCTAAATTAGCTGTTACCACTCAAGAAAGAGATCTTGGAATAATTGTGGATAGTTCTCTGAAAACATCCACTCAATGTGCAGCGACAGTCAAAAAAGCGAACAGAATGTTGGGCATCATTAAGAAAGGGATAGATAATAAGACAGAAAATATCATATTGTCTCTATATAAAACCATTGTACGCCCACATCTTGAATACTGCATGCAGATGTGGTCGCCCCATCTCAAAAAAGATATACAGTATTAGAATTGGAAAAAGTTCAGAAAAGGGCAACAAAAATGATTAGGGGTCTGGAACGGTTACCATATGAGGGGAGATTAATAAGACTGGGACTTTTCAGCTTGGAAAAGAGATTACTAAGGGAAGATATGATAGAGGTCTGTAAAATCATGACTGGTGTAGAGAAAGTAAATAAGGAAGTGTTATTTACTCCTTCTCATAACACAAGAACTAGGAGCCACCAAATGAAATTAATAGGCAGCAGGTTTAAGACTAACAAAAGGAAGTATTTTTTCACACAATGCACAGTCAACCTGTGGTACTCCTTGCCAGAGGATGTTGTGAAGATCAAGACTATAACAGGGTTCAAAAAAGAACTGGATAAATTCATGGAGGATAGGTCCATCAATGGCTATTAGCCAGCATGGGCAGGGATGGTGTCCCTAGCCTCTGTTTGCCAGAAGCTGGGCATGGGCAACAGGGGAGGGATCACTTGATGATTAACTGTTCTGTTCATTCCCTCTGGGGCACCTGGCATTGGGCACTTTTGGAAGACAGGATACTGGGCTAGATGGACCTTTGGTCTGACCCAGTATGGCCGTTCTTATGTTCTAAAGATTAGGTAACCACAAGTGTGTGGAGCCATGACAACAAAAAGTGAGCCTCATTAGAGTAGCATGTGCTCACATGTGGGAAAATTCAGATTTACTCTCTCTTTGCAAGACTCCCATCATGAGGGTATAAATAAATACACACACACACAGCAAATAACAATGATTCTTAAATTAAAGAAGGCCAGAGGAAATTTGCTCCATCCCTAGGTAGGAATCTTATCTGAAGTTATGAGCTTGTATTTATACCCATGGTGACAAATTCATTCCTGGTGCAACTTCATTGACCTCAGTGAAGATGAATTTGGCTCATGGGGTTGGAGTACCAATGGGGTATTCAGAGTACAAGGTGAAAGTTACATGATTTACATATCCCCCTAGGAATGGGGTTTCCTTGATATTTACTATGAGCCTTCACTGCTTCCTACTCTTGGAGAACTCTAATTTCAGCCTGGTAATTTTCCTTTGCATAGTATCTTTGATACAAGAGTATCAGACAGTCCTATGTAATGGATTACAGTCTATGCTTTCAAACACAAGCAGAGTATGCAGATTACAAATTAATCTTGCAGGTAGTATCTGTGGATACAGTAAGACAGTACAAAGGCCAATTACACATTGTCATCTTTTCTAAGCGGTGACCACTTAATTAGAAGACAGTTATCAAAGATCAGAGAAGAATCTTGCATTGGGCGCGGGGATTGAGGAATGTTACTGAAATAAAGGATATCCTTTCTCATGCTAGTGCTTTCAAGCTCAGGCTGCTGAACACTTTTGTGTTTGATTCCCAGGAGACAAGCGAGCAATAGATTTCCTTAGTCAATGCATACACATTTTACTGTTGTTTATTTGCAGACTCCCTGGAGAATGTGCTTAGCAAAGAGAGTCCAGCCTAGGCAAGTACTGTAAATTGCACAGAATATCACTTAAGTGCTGCAGCCTGAAATCAGAACTGAGCAATGGTAGGAAGGGGCAGCAGCAACAGCGATACCGCCAGCTCCATAAAACAATGGCCTTTAGCAGGGTCTTAAGCCAGGCCTTTCCCACATTGACTTGATCTCTCATCTGCAAGGGGAAGAAATGCAGAGTGTAGCGTCAGGGCAGTTGTGAATATTTCATAGTATTGTGCCCATTCTTGTAATTGATGCCGATGGATATCCAAATTCTTTGGTTTTGTGACAGTTTTGTAACTATAGGGCCAGATCCCTAGCTTGTGTCAAATCGGGACACTCTATTGACTTCAGTGGTGCTATGTTATGCCAGTTTATGCTAGCTAAGGCTTTGGCTCACATATTTCTTCTCCTTGCTGCCCAGTTAATTTATTTCATTCATTTCCCACAGGTTTTTGCAGCTAAAGTGCTCAACTTTGTTCTACCAAATCTGACGCTGGGAGCTATAGACCCAAATGTGGTTTCCCGGAACAAAAAGGAGGTGAGGATGTTAATATCATTTTAAGTCACTGCTGGCCCTCTGTAATGGTCTAAACACCTCGAGACAAATTCTCTGCTAGTGGAAATAGGTGAAATGCCCTTACAGTCAATATCTGTGCCCAACAGAAAATTTGGCTCATAAGCTGACTAGTCCAGTCTGGAACCATTCAGTCACCAGTTCAGTGCACTCTGCATCCATGTCCTGTTCTGGGAAGGAGATCTAAGATCTGGGCTGTGTGATGGTCACTATGGCAAAAAAAATGGGACCCATAATTCAGCACCAAGTGCAGCTCCAATGGGGCAGCAGTGATAGAAGCTGTAGTTTAGGCAGGGCTCAGATACTTTGAAGACCATGTTGTCTAAATCTGCTTTTCACACAAATACAGTAGCAAAGACGCTTGAGTCTCATCTACACTTACTATTATTTGTATAGTACTGAGATAGTGGCTAGGAACTCCAGTCATAGAGCAGGACCCCATGGTGCTAGGTGCTGTACAAAGATGGTCCCTGCCCCATCATTTAACCACTGTAACTAACTAATTAGAGCTTCTACCATTGTGAATTGTAGGCCCCCATTTTTGCCAGTCTAGACAAGGCTTGTGGGACCAGGCTGCTGTGTGGAAAAACAACACCCCTTCTCCTGCTTATAGACAGCCTGGTTCAGCAATACTGGTAAAACCAGATGTCTTGACAACTGCTGCAGCAGCACAATTAAAAAGGCTCCCACATCTTTCAGTACAAAACAGCCACATGTAGGCTTAGGTTTGTATTTGCACTGCTGAGGAGGAAAAAAAGTGAATGAAACAGCTGTGTCTGGGAAGGGATCACAAATCAGGATTTTAGTTTTATTTCTAAGATCAACTGGAATGACAGAAGATGGCACCCAAGGGTCTCTAAAAAGCAGGAGCGCTTTGTAAGTGTAGTGAATGCTTACTTCTGTGGCAGCCCACGTGCCCCCGAGGCGTGCTGTAATTTTTCAATGTCTCTGACTGGCTAGATGAGCTGGATTCTTATTTTAAATAGATGCTAATGAATTTCCCAACTGTGGGTGGCTAGGCGGGTCCCTGTCCATGCTGACATCAGAATGCAGGCTGACTAGATAAGGAGCAAAGAGGGTGTTAATACAGTACACTTAACTTTTGTTTGCACATTCAACTTGCCAAATTGCTCTTTAGGTAAATTGGAAGGAAGACTGGTCTTGTGGATAAACCACATGGACGCCTGGGTTCTGTACCTGGCTCTGACACAGATTTTCTGGTCAAGTGACTTATTCTTTCCGTGCCTCAGTTTCCTTGTTCCGTAAAAGGGGATTAATACTTCACGGGGTTAAAAACATCACAATTGAAAAGCCCTTTGAGATTTTTCAGCTAGAGAAGAGAGAATTAGATCGGGCACATGCAGCGATTCCATAATACTGGACACAGTATAAGAACCAACATAGAAAGCATTAGTATACATCCACTTTGTAATGTATATGTCCTCAGATATTTTGGTAAGCCTTATCATAACAAAAATGTACAAAACATACATAGATAAATAAATAAATAAATGCGGTCAGATTCCATTATTATAGGAACACCATCATACTCGCTAGTGTTCCATCATATGGAAGGTGTTACCAATAATTCTCTGTGTAAGTAATAACAGAGGAGAGAAAAGGTACAATAAAATCATATGAAGGAAGAATTATATTCCTAGGTTGTAAAAGATAAGTGATACCAGGTTTATAAAGTAAAAGGTCTATCAAAGCCACAGCCTATATATTAGGAGACAGTGTGCCTTGGCTGTTACAGCAGGGACTCCTGGGTTTCCCTGCCTGGTTCTGCCACTGACTTATTATGTAACTACTTAAACTCACTGTGCCAAAGTTTATCCATCTGTTAAATGGTTGTAAAAATACCTACCTTGAAGGGGTTTGTCCTCAGATGGAAGATGCTAAGAACATGCTAAATATTGTTACAGCATGCTTAGTATTGTGCAAGATGGAAAGGAAAGATGCAGCCCCTGCCCAGAAGAAGAGCTTACAGTCTAAATAGATGGGCAACACCAAATGCACCAGGAGACCTGGTGGATGGTTCTGTCTTGAAGAGAATCTTTTAAAAAAAAGAGTTGGCAGTTGTGATGGATTCTACAGACCCCACTCCGAGCCAGGGCTGGAAAGGATCAATGGACTGAACCGGATCCAAATATTTAGACCAGATCCACTATGCAGACACTGTCCAAGGTATCTATCCTGGAAAGCGGGGCCCTGCTAGCTGTAACTAAGAACGAAGGAAGAACAGGAAACAGAGGAAGGAGGCAGAGGTGACCCAGGGTTTCCTAAACAGAGAGTGCAAACATGAGAGTAGGAGAAGGCACAAAGGAAGAGATGAGTCAGCATTCGCTGGCTGAGCGAAGGTGGACAAGGGGAGAGTGTTAAGAAACAAGAGCAGAGATTGAGGTGGACAGAGTGATGTGGAGCCTGGAAGGTCACCCCAGTTTCTCTTATCCCTCCCTACAACTAAGACTCAGCACACCCAGCGTTCTAGAGAACTTTTCTTTAAACCTCATCCCCTACCCCATTACAAGTTGCCCTGCTGCACAGCGGAAGGGTTTCCCCTTTTCTCTCCCTTCTTTTGAAGGCTCAGGATAAAGCCTTCTCCCTTTTTCCTCCTCCTTTCACCAAGACTTGCCCTGTGCAGTGCGTTCGCCCCATGCACAGATCATTAACTTTCCGATAAGGATTGTTTTTCATTAGCTGTTTTTATCCCTCTCACAATGTCGATCATTCTCAAAGATCCCCCCACCCCCCATCTACACAAAAGATTTGTCTGCTGTTCAGTAGCTAAAAATTCCTTGTTTGGGGGGGGGGAGAAAAAGAAGAAAGAAACCCATTAGGCCATCTCTTGGCATTTATGGCACTACACGGGGGCGGGGAAGGGGGCAGCTCATATGAATTAATCTACATTATTTTACTCCATGGGAAGGCAACGTCTGTCAATCCAGCCACCCACCCCTCTTGATTTTTTTCCCGGAGTCCTTCATCTGTTGCTTTCAGTAAAAAAACAAAAACCCCACAAAGCTGTGTTGCCTCAGTGCAGTGCTGTGACACAGCTCCAAACAAATAACTCCCAGATTAGGCTGAAGCCAGTTGCTAAGTAGCCAGAGGAACCCTGTGCTTTTGTTTAAATTGCAGATGAAAAGTCAATGGGTTTGGGTGAAAATGTCAGGTTACCAGCTGCTAAAGTGAGAGTTGACAAAATTAGATGCACTGGGTGTTCCAGAAGCCAGAGTGTAACTTTTTCCATGAGCCCGTTCACAGGCAGGGCGGTTCCTTCTCATGAAAGGCAGCCTCTCGGGATCGAGACAGTTTACAGAACAGGACAGATATTTAAAACAAGCAGGGCTGTATCTCACGAGAGTATAGTTCCACTGAAAAAGGCTGCCTGCCTGTAGGGGATGCAGAGGAGGTTAGAGGCACCTACAGCAGCCATGGTGCCACCTCAGAGCTGTTCTAGAGAAGACTTCCAGGCACTGAAGAGTCTATGTGGATACTGACTGAGGGCCAGATGTTGGGACGTGCTCAGCTCCTATTGACTTCTCTGGGAGTCGAGGATGCTTACCACCTCCTCGGATCAGGCCCTGACAGCTCAACCTCAGCCAGCATTTCACCTCCCCAGTGGGATCTTCCAAGCATTTCCCAGGGGCTAGATCTCAGACCCTCAGGGTGGGTGTGTCATCAGGATGAGGGGAGCCATACTGCATTTGTCTCCCCTCCAGTAACTGCCCCTCACTTTGGGGCACAAAGGGAGTGGAACTCCCAGCGGTCCACTCCAGCATGCCCATAACTTGAGTTTCCAGTAATGGGGATTATGGACCTGCCATGGCAGGGGAAATAGACTAGAGCCCTGCACAGGACGAGTGTAGAGCCCTGCAGCGGGTCTGGAATCCTATGGGTCTTGCAGGACTCGCTGCCATAATAGCGGGAGCGGGATTAAAAAATAGTCCTGTGCGGGGCTCTAAAAGAGACCCTTTGCTGCCTCCAGCAGAGTATGCTGTTTGAAAGAAGTTTAAGTGATTCCAGAGGAGAAGCCAAACTGCACCAACAAGGTCAGGAAAAGGATCCCAGACTACCAGTAAAGTCACACGGATGCTGGCGCTCTTAATTAATCCAATCAGAGGCTCGCCTCTGGGACAACCAGGGACAACATTCACAAGTAAATGGGCAGGGACCTCGCGGTCTGACTGATTCGCTCTCGTTTCCTATAACCCATCAGGACAGTTGCAATGTGGGTCACTCTTCTCAGTTCCTGGGGCTGAGCTCTCCAATCTCTGCAGCATGGATGTCTCAGTGGCAGGACCATTCCTATGAAGCCTGCTCCCTGCAAGGGTCACCCAGAGCCCAAGTTTGGTGAGCTTCAGGGCTCCGAGTAAGACTTCTCTCTCTGGCCAATCACCCTCCAGACCATCAGCACAGCAGAGAATGAGGGTTCTTCTTAGGCTATGTCTACACTGCATACCTTACAGTGGCATAGCTGTGCTGCTGTAAGGTCTCCCGGGTAGCCACTCTTTGCCAGCAGGAGAGAGCTCTCATGGAGCAAAATAAAACCACCCCCAATGAGTGGCAGTAGCTTTGTCGGCGGGAGAGGGTCTCCCACCAACAAAGCGCGGTCCACTCCAGTGCTTTTCATCAGTAAACTTTTGTCGGTCGGGGGGTATTTTTTCACACCCCAGATTGACAAAAGTTTTACTGACAAAAGTGCAGTGTAGACATAGCCTTAGACTGTTTAGTTCGTGAGAACTCAGCTAGGGGAAGGAAAGGAAAAGAATCACCCTGCTAAAATAATCTATGGAATTAGGCTCAGTCTGCGAATGAATAGAGGAGCTGCTCCTGAGTTGGATACTGATGGCAGATTCTCTCCTGCACTTGGGCCAGCCAAGCAGGGGGCATCAGGTAGCTAATTACAACTCCCCAATTCTCTGGGCCAGCCCTGGCAAAGATTAGCGCAGCCTAAAGGCCATTCTAACTTGTGTCTGCTGGCTATGCTCCTCTAAGGACCACCCATCAACTAGGGATTGCTGGAGTGCATTGTGTCCTAGCCATTCTGTCCCTTCCCCAATGCATCTCTTGTGCTAAGAGTGGTGGGGAGGGAGGCTGGCTCTACATCCACTGCAGACTCCCCCCACACATGGGCGGTATCCAGAACAAGGGTGATGGTTTCCACTCCCTTTGTGCCACCTGAGCCTGTCAAAGAGACCGGATTGGGGCAGAGAGTCGATCTCTGAGCCTTCTAATGCTCGGATGTGGTGTCTGTGTAAGCACAGTAAGGAGGGAGTTTAGACTAACCTGGGTGCTCGTTGGAATTAGTGCAGGGTGCAATGGGCACATTTTAAAACACTTCATCGGTTAGAATAACTATCTTTGTAATTGACTTTACGAGGGGCGTGTCAGCTGCCAAAGAATTCATTGTACTTTGGTGTCTATTGAACTGTTACCATAGGAGGCTGCTGTGCAGGGCGGGGGAGGGGGGGTTATTTTTGAATGGTCTTGTACTAATCCAGGCCTGGTGCAGAGAGGAGAGGAGGCCAAGGGTGTACAAAAGCAAGCCTGCCCCACACAGAGCCCACAGCGACGGTTCCTGCCCCACAGGGCTGGGTGCAGCTCCCTGCTGAGAGCATGGCAACCTGGCACATTGCAGCATCACTCAGTTTGGCCTGGCTGCCCTTTCGTCATGGAGGGGCAGCCGTGCGAAACCCGAGTGGCGCTGCGACCTCATGCACTAGGTCTCAACGCCCAGAGTGGGGAGCGATGCCCAGCCCCGCAAGGCAGGCGCTATCGGTGCGGGGTGAGAGCAGGGCAGGCTTGCTTTCAAACACACCCCCCCCATTGGGGTCTCCCCTCCGCACCGAGCTAGGAGAAGTGTATGTTTGCTTTGGGCCACGGCCCGGTGATTGGTTAATCCAACCCTGGATGTGGCGACCCATCTAGAACCTTCCTGCGACCCACTGGTGGCTCAGGACCCACCATGTGGGAAACGCTGCCTTAGAGAAGAAAAATTAGGCTTCCTTCAGCCAACCTACAAATAAATGATTATTTGTTTTTTTTTAAAACCGCGTCAGACTTTAGAGGAATCGGCAGCTGTGCCAGGGATCCACCTATAATCAAAACGCTCTGGCAAAGATTGAGCTGGTAAAGCCTGCGTAGGCTGCCAACGCTCGTTTCTCTATATACAGCATACAAATATTTACTGTAGATATGCCTGATGCAGTAATTACCCGTTCCTAGCTCCCAGACCCTGTGCTGATTAGTCCAGTGCCGTGTTTTCAGCACTCTCATCACTTCAGGTTTTTCGTGCTGACTCTCTGCTCTTAGCCAGCTTGTAAGAGAAAGATACAAATTTGCAAGTGAAATGTTGGGGTATGTGGTTTTTTGGGTTTGGGTTTTTTTTGTTGGTTTTTTGGGGGGGAGAGGGGGGTGGCTCCTGGCACTTTATGTCATAGTTTAAACTAAGGAAAACTTTGCCCAATCAGGAGCTCAAGGCCCATACATAGTGAGCGCAGAAAGTGTGCAGATTGAAGTTACCTTCGTCTTTAATACAGAGGGGTGGCCCATGGAGACTACAGGCCCCAAGAGGCAATGCTCCAGCTTGAGCAGAGCAGCCTCCATTGGGCTCAAGGCAGCACGACTTGTCGAGACCCATCATCTTTGCAGGCACCATCTCCACATACACACTTAACACCAGCACAGAGCTCCTCATCTTAGTAGTGCTTTGGAAGCAGGAGCTAATCAGTACCTTCAACCCTCCTGCAAGACAAGTAAATATCTTTATCCCCATTTTGCAGATGGGGAAACTGAGGGAGAGAGAAATAAAGTGACTCATGGCAGGGCCACTCAGCACCAGAGACAGAACTGGTACTCAGGAATTGTTTGTATCAATATCATCTTTGCAATAAAGCAGAATGAAAAACTGCCTATGGGGGGGGGGAAGGCTGCCACCTTTGAGTGGTAGGAGACCAGGGCAGAGCACGAATAAGTGCAAAAAGTAGCTCCCTTGGGCAAAGTCATTGACTGATGCTGCTTGTTTGCCTGCCCCAGCATTTTTGACTCATGAACATTTTTCAGTGGTGTAAGAGAGGAGTTTGGAGTAGCCCAGTTTCCAGTTGCACAAGAGGTGATGGGCCCTGGCTGCTAACGGGGGTTATCATTCTAGGTGCAGGGGTAGTCAATAGGCAGACCCTGGGCCAAATCCAGACCACCAGGCACTTTTGAATGGACCTCAAAATCTATTTATTTATTATTATTTTTATTATTTTCTCTGGAGTCTGGACCTTGACTATACCTTGACCAAGAAATTTGGACCTTGACAAAAAATAATTGACTACCCCGATCGAGGGTGAAATGGCACAGGAGCCCACTGAGGGTGGGAAATGGGTAGCCTAAGCAATAGACGGTAACAGACTCATCACACATGAAGGGCTCTGCCTTGCATTTTCAGAACAGACTGTTGCTGACAATGATTTTTCCCACCCCAATAGGTTGAATCTTACACCTCAGACCCCCTGGTCTACCATGGGGGCATGAAGATCTCCTTTGTCATCCAGCTGATGAATGCCGTTGCCAAAATAGAGCGATCCCTGCCTAAATTGACTCTGCCAATCCTGGTGCTACATGGTTTGCCCGACAAGCTCTGCGACATCAAAGGTTCCTACTTACTGATGGACACCGTGCAGAGTCAGGACAAAACACTCAAGGTCACCTTGCTTCTTGTATTTGAAGGGTGTAATGTTGTGCAGATCAGCCTCTGCTTTGCTCAGTGTAGGCTTAAGGATTTGACTGAGTCACTGTCAGAGCAGGTGCCAGGTGCTGTTGACAGAGTGCAGAGCATGGGAAAGTGTCCTATTCTGGGAGGTGCTGAACATCCAAGGGAATTGAAAGAACTTGGCACATTCCAGGATTGGGCTCCTAACCAGGTAACCCAGTGCCCCCAAACTCTGCAACAGGGCAGGCTGCTTTCACGCCAAGCCCACCTCACGGCGTAAAGGTACAGCGAGAACGTTCCAAAAGCAACTGAACAAAAGCCATTCCACATCTGCTCATTTGGAGCGAGCACACAGCTGATTAACCAATTGTTAGCACATGAATGAGCTTGAAAGGGAGACGGGGAGACCAAGCAAAAGCTTTTGTGGTCAGAAAAATAACTATCTATACCAGGCATCAAAAGAGTGAAATTACACATGGGGTTGTGGGAACGCCTCCCGTTGCGTTTACACGCCAAGGGTGTGATTAATATTTCCTGCCTTTCGTTGGGTTGCAAGCTTGATATGCTACAGTTGGCTCACTGGATACACGGACTGGGAAGGCGGGTGTGAGACTCTGAGGGAATGGTTGTATCCACTGCTTAAGTGCATGAAAGCAGCCCTCGCAAGAGACTTGTGCTTCTCAGCCTACACACTGTATAGGGATTAAAATAAGAGCGACAATGGATCTGCATGGCTTTGATTCCCTTACTAGAGGGCACTAGGCAAAGGAATGTTCTGCCTGGGCACGGCGGGTCTAGGTTTGATAACATCACTGCCATCTCCAGAGTTTGCACTATTAAACTCCCCTTGCAACAGAGGGTGTGGAGCAGCATGGGGCACTCTCTCCTCTTGAAGCTCTTCCGCTATGGATAAATAATCAAAGGGAATGATGGGAGCAGGGGGACTGGAGCCTGGCTCTCCCCTCTCCCAGATGGGTGCCCTAATCACTGGACTACAGAGTTATTCTCACTGTCTCTCTCTGGCCCAATGACTATTTAAGTATTTATCCACAATGGAACAATCATTGGGCCAGAGAAAGAGAGGGGAGGGGGGGAATGACTCTGAGGTCCAGTGGTTAGGTCACCTACCTAGGCGGTGGGAGACTCAGGATCCAGTGCTCAGAGGCCGCCTACAGGGTCAGGTCCTGCATGCGACTTAGACAGCCAAACACCCACCTTCCCCCAGTTTGTGAGTTGCTCCGGGGCTCAGGCAGGAGCTAGGTGGACGGACGCCTAGCGTGAGACAGCAGTGCAAATGCCCAGAGGCCAAAGCCTAAGCACAGAGGGAACTTGTACCTGGAAACTTAAGCACCAAATGAGTTTGTGTCTAAACACTTTTGTGGCTCTGGGCCCTGGAGCCTGGTTTTTCAAAGGTGATGAGCACTCCCAACTCCAGCTGAAGTCAGTCAGTGCTTCGGGTGCTCAGCATTGCTGAAGAAAGGTGTCTCAAATCAGGAACCCAAAGTCAGAGGCCATACATGTGAACGTGTGATCATATGTCACATTCTCCTATTGGTGGGTCTTCCCCGCATGGCGAGGGGAGCGGAAAGAACTGCAGGAGGAGAAGGAATTGTGATTGCAACACTGCAAACGCATGCAGGGAGGACAGGTGTGAAACAGGATTTCCCAGGTTAACTCCCTTGCTGAAACAGACTAGATCTCAAGTTGGTGGCGTCCCTTAATTTTCATAATTCACCATATCTAAGAAATACAGGAAGACCGACGAGACATGTGCAGGGCATGTCAGGATTGCGGGCACCGGCGAGTGGGACCTAAGGGCTGCTTTGTTCTTGGGGGGTTTGTCTGAACCTGTGTTCTTTCTCTGATTGCAGGTGTATGACGAGGCCTATCATGCTCTCCATAAAGAGCTGCCTGAGGTCAGCACTGCTGTGTTTAAGGAAATACTAACATGGATTGGTCAGAAGGTCTCAGCAGCTGGAGGACCCAGCCACACTTAAGCCGCCTTGTTACCTTCTCAATGGTCTTCTGGAGATGGAAGTTTTTGGGGGTTTTTTGTTTTTTTTTTAAAGTCTCTCTGGAAAAGATTTAACTTAGAGGGACTCTTAGGATACTTTGCTGTGAATAGACATTCCTGACACATAGGAGGGAGACACCACTCAGTCATTTAAAGAGGCCATTGCCCTAAAGCAGGAAAGGGGGTTATGGCAGCAGAAGTTGTCACTGAAAACTTTCCAGGTTGGTTATTGTACCACAAGGCTCCTGTTCAGAAAAGCCCCCCCGCCACCTCCCATGTTCTTTGTTTTCTCTGGAATTCCTGATGTGCCAAGGCTGTTTTTATTCTGCAATAATCTTTGGAATGTTCAGTAGTTCTGCATCTTTCATTTCATTCCGTTTCTACTCCTGCGGAGTATGGTCCCCTTCCCTGCTCCTGCAGTTGCAGAACATACTGTATAAGAAGTCTTTATCCTTGAGAAGGGAACATTAGAGAGAGTTAGCAAAGAGAGCTTGGGGATGGGGAGAGAGGAATAATTCCATACTTGAAGGTGAAAAGCTAATTCTCTAGGTCAAACCAATATGAAGCAACCTCTTTTAGCACATGAGGCCTGAAGGGTAGGGTCCTACCCTACCAGTTTGCACTCTAGAAAGACATGTTGTTTAACCGCTGTTTAATTCCCAGCACCAGAGCAGAGTTCACAGAGGAGAAGGACTAATGTAGAATAAGATACTTAAAACCTACTAAGCACACACAAACCGTGTGACTTCCAGATACCAAACCCTCTCCCCTCGGCAAGATGAGCTACTCTGTAAATATTCCTAGGGGCTGCTTTTTAAAAAAAATTACTTGTGCTACTGATACTTAAGATGTAAAGTCAAAATTTTATTTAAGAGGAAATATTAATATACTATATGATGTCTATCTCGGCGGCTCAGAGAGCTGTCACTGAGGAAGGGAGCAGAGTCTGAAGAAGGAGCTAACTGTCCTCCTCACCCCTGCACTGTGGTAGCCATGGCAAGGTTGTCCCACCATGGTCCATTCCTCTCATAACTACTCTACAGCAATCATTTGGCCTTTTCCCCTCATCAGCTGGAGATGGCCAGAAATGCTAGTCAAGCTCAGAACATCTAGTGAAGGGAAGGGCATTGAGATGGATGACATGTACCCTCACAGTCCACTTATTTACTAAGAGCCTCATAATGTTATTAGGTTCCCCTGCAAGCACTTCCGATTCTGTGAAATGGTCATTTCTTGGGTGATTCTCCTAGACTTAGCAGCTGTGTCTTAGCTGGGTGGCAATGAAGGATCACACTTGCTTCTCAGAGGTAGGTGGGCAGTTAAAAGGAGATCATAGAGCACACTAGGTAGCCAAACATCTGTATCTGAATATTGGGGCTACATAGAACAAGCTGTACGGAAGGATATTAATGAACTACCACGAGGACAGCTGCCCCCAGAAAGTTTGTAAATCCAGCAGATTCTGATATTAGTTGGAAGCTACAGATCCAAATGCCAGAGCTGACTGGTCTTTCATACCAGCAAGGCTAGAGGAAGACTTCTAGGAGAACTTTCCATGTGAAAACTCACTCACATGGCAAGTGAGCTTGCATCAACCTGTTAGCCTGTCTTCTGGTAGTTGTGTTACAGCTCGTCTACACGGGGAAATCTACTGCCAGAACTATACGGTTATACCACTGTGGTTATGCCAGTGTAAACTCCCTGTGTGGACATACAAGTGTCCACACAGTTATACCAGTGGACACTCTTAAATCAGTTATACTGGTATAATTATAGCAGGCAATGCCCCATGCAGACATGCCCTTAGTAATAGGCCTCTGCCTACATGCAGGAGGGAGTTTAGCTTTTTCCTCCCACTCCCTTATGTGTTCCAACAATAAGTCCATCAAAGTGCTGCAGAGGGTGGGGGAAGCATTTCACCACAGAGAAAAGCAAGTATCCTCCATGGCTCCCATTGTAGAGGGGGCATATACAGGCATTATACAGCAGCTGGAGCTATCACAGGTCCTCGCTGCTCCCTTTCCAACTCTGCCCTGGAGGAGAATAGGGCAGTATTCCCATCACGAGAGATTGCTGCTGCTTCAGTGGCTTGTAAGGCAATGTACCACTATTACACCAATATTTCACTTCCCCTTGAAACCCGTTCTGGCAGGACTCAGGAAAGGTAACCTTGTGCAATAACAATAAGCATCAGAGACTGACTTTCATGAGCTCAGACCTGTTCTCTAATAAGGGTTTGAGAAGTTAATGGAAGTCATCCTTGTGCTTGCAACGGTGTAGTGCATCTAATCAGAAATGCTGTTCTTTACCGATTGGCTCTGGCATTTGTACAGCTCTGGCTTCCTGGCTGCAATCTGAGAAATCATTAGAGATCTCAGGAGTTCAGCTGGACTTGAATTGAAAACCCTGTTCCAGCCAATCAACTGCTACCACCACCAACTGTAAACCCCCTACAATGGCTTTTGGGTATCAACACAATGTGAAGCTCAAGCACTGCAGGCTCCGGAGCTTCCAGTGAGCTGGCTTATTGCAACATTGGTCTCCTATAGGTCGGTCCCTCCCTCCCTCCCACACTAACCATGAGCTGGGGAGAGATGGGGAGCATGGAGACATTACAGTGGTGGGAGACCCTGCCTACCTCTTAGGCCTTGAGCATGCATTAGGGTAGATGTAATCATACAGGGATGTGTGCTAGGGTAACAGGGGGAGTACTAGAAGTACTTATTTTATAAATAAAAAGAGGTGATTAGACGGTATGATTTTCAAAAGCACCCAATGTTGTCCTGAGTCCGCTACCACTGACTTAAATTGGAGCAGAATTAGTTGAGTGCTGAGCTCTTTTGGGGGGAGAAGAGAGAATCCTAAATGAACAAGCACTGGAGAAAAAGAACGAACCCTACAGCGTGATGGGCACAGCCCTGCTGCTCCCTAGAACCTGTATGTGGCCATAGGCAGGCCTGGGGTCAGTGCCTTTGATCAGTTCTGTTCTTTAGCCTGAGAGAGAGCTGCTTTCCTCCTGAGCTTGGAAGCAGTATACAAGAAGAAAATGAGTATGATGAAAGGAAAACCTGTCCTTCTGTCCAGCTAAGCTCAGCGAGGTCACACGGGCAGGGGAAACTGTGTTTGAAAATAAAGTGTTCAGATGACATTTGGCACAGCTGAGCTTGCTGCTGCTTTCAGACAATTTTCTGAAGCACTATCTTTTGGGAAATTGGGCCTCGGGAAGACCTAGCTGAGAAATTGAGGGCCAGTTTCTAATAGACTTGAACAGACCTCAAATCTCACTGTTTAATATAGAAACAGAGCCAGACCCTCAGCTGGTGTAAATCAACATAGCTCTAGTGAGGTCATTTGTGCTACACTGATTGACAGCAATTAGGGATCCGCCCCACATTTAAACTCTTGCTGCTATAGTTCATCCATTGCCACAGGTCCAAACTGGCTTAAACGGGCACATTTAGTCTCCACCATGTCCTAGTGGAAATCCTTTCTTGAGCAACTTCATTAGCAGCAGGCAGATCTGCCACCAGTGGAAATGTAATTAAAACCTTTATTTTCAAATACCATGGACACTTCGGGGGGAGCACTGCTGGCCTTATGAACTTCCAGATTGCTCTGCTGAGACAAATGGGAATAGTTTCCCTCTGAGAATAGAATGCATTTATGACAGAGCAATAGTATGTAACTACTGTATATATCACCACATGTACCAAGCATAGCATCAAAAGACCATACTCATAATGTGTAATGCACACAGTTTTCTATTTAGCCTGCTCTTTTTATATTGGTCACCCTAGCACACCGTCAACATAAACCTGTAGAGATCACTTATTTTTCCAAGTAATTTCTGAGCCTGTCATTCCATTGTGCTCCAGTTTAATACAATATATACACATGTGCATACATGTATTTTCAGTGGGAAAAGTGTGTACAAGTTTAGGATTCTTTAAAGAAATACAATGTATATTGCAACTAATAATAAAGTTATGTTTTCTGAACGTGGTGTATTTGGGAGCATTATTTGCTGCTTTCATCAGATTATATTGAAAGAACAGTAGAAAGAAGGGGCGTTATTAAAACACTTCTGCTTTGGGGGGGAAATAGCGGAGCCACAGATATATTGCTGAACAGCAATCTCCAGTGTAGCAACATAGCAGGTGCAACCAACCTTACCACTTGTCATCTTGTCCTAAACCTGCAATGTAAAGGCCAGTTTACACTTGGGGTGGGAAAGTCTGCACCGGTGTAGCTATACCACAGTAAACCTAGGGACTTGGCTACACTTACAAGTTACAGCGCATTAAGGAGCCCTGGGCACACTAGCTCACTCCCCGTCCACACTGGCAAGGTGTTGCATTACTGTGCTCTGATTGGCCTCCAAAAACCGTCCCATAATCCCCTTAAGTCAAGTGGCCACTCTTGTCATTGTTTTGAACTCGCTGTAGGAATGTGGATATGCCCTTTCAAAGCTCCATTTCTGACAGCCCGCTGCTTATCTGCTCCGGGACAAAGGAACCATTACTGAGGAATGCTGCTTGCTTTGAGTGAGTGAGTGAGAGAGAGGCGTGGGATGGGGAGGGAGGTCTGCTGCTATCTGAACTTACAAGACAGCATGCTGACATGCTCTCAGCCCCCCAAAAACCCACTCTCTCTCCCCCCACATACACACAACACACTCCCTGTCACACTCCACCCCACCCCCATTTGAAAAGCACGTTGCAGCCACTTGCATGCTGGGATAGCTACCACAATGCACTGCTCTTTGTGGCGTTGCAGGAGCTGCTAATGTGGCCACGCCAGTGCGCTTCCAGCTGAGAGTGTAAACACTCGGCAGCGTTTTCCCTGCTGCGGTCTCCGAAGGCTGGTTTAATTCCCAGCGCTCTACAACTGCAAGTGTAGCCATGCCCTAGGCCTGGTCTATACCTAAAACTTAGACTGACCTAGCTACATCGCTCAGGGTTATGAAAAATTCACACCCTTGAGAGAAGTAGTTAAGTCAGCCTAAACCC